GGACCTGAGTCCATCACTGTGCACAGATTTTCTGCCTGGTTGGTGGTTTCTAGCTGTTTCAAGTGAAGCTGTGTGTTAACTATTGAACTCTCTTCCTTTGATCTTGAAATTATTATTACTTAAGTTGTATTTTGATTCAGCTGAAGAAACAGTCTGCATAATTATGGTTGCATAATTTAGGCTTTTGTTTATTAAGATCTGAGATTAGGGCGTGAATAGGAGGGGGTCTAATTTGGACTTTGGATTTTTGTGATCATTGTTCTAAATAAAGAGAGACTTGGCTCATGGTAGAAATTGTTCTTCATAATTTTAGTTCAAAAGATAATAATTATATGTTTGCACAAAGCTGTTAAAATCACATAGTGTCACAAAAATTAAAGGTTTTAAAACACAGTAGTGAACAATGACTCAATTTCAGTTCTAAAGGAGCATTCCTCTGAAGATAGTCCCTCATAGTGACACACCTGTACACTCCACTGCCCACATGCTCACTGTCTCTGTGGTGGTGCAATGGTGAACATGGCCTCTGCTGTGGATCATGATACACAGTATTATTTATTCATGGCCAACAACGACGGTAGTGGTGTGAGCTTCTCCTGAGTATTGTCCATCTGTTTGCTCGCTTACTGTACACTAACTGTAATGTAAGTCCTCACGAGGGGCACTAATAGCCGCTCAGCTGCTAACGCTTCACACTATTTATCTCTGTAATAATACTGTCGTTGATTATAATTAGCATCCTGTCTCTGGGATGTGAAATATCCATCCCTGAAGAAGCAGGGGGGGATAAACAGTGAGGTAAAGTATGACCTTAACCATTTTTTATTTGATCACCACCTGCACCGACAGGGTTTCCCTTTCTCACAAGACACTTCTAACATGGGAATACATCAAATCTAATTGCTCCCTATAAGGCACCGTAATCAATCTCCGAGGACTGCTGTACAAAACATTTTACACAAAGCCCAAGATAATTTGATTTCCATTGAGGGAGCATTTGGCTTTACAGTTTAATAGAAAATAAAGATAGCTGCCAGACTCCCAAAACAGGTGTCTCTGTATCGGAATAAGTATTAACATGAAGGAGCAAAATCACTGGAGGTTCGTTTTTCAATAAGCACCTAGAATGATGCAGTTTTTTCACTTCACAATCATTAAATCTGTTATTACCTATTAACAAACATATATATTCTGTGCACATTGCTTTAAACATATCTACTAAATTACTGACAATATTCACAATTAGTGCAGAGAGCCAGATCCAATGCAAACTTAGCTTGGGATCTACTCACATGGAGATCCCAAGAGATCATAAATTTACTGGGGACAGCTTGACAAAAATAACCACTTGTATACATATTCAGAAAAACCTCCACAGCTTGATAGTTAGATTCATCGACCATATTAGGCTAATTAGTGTTGGAGCTGAGAAAAATGTGTCCTTTACACTGTAGGTGTTTGCCAGAGGCGGCCAGAGTTTTAATGAGGCCCTGGGGAGAATTTCATTTAAAAGTTCACTTCCACTTCAGCACCAATGAGCCCTTTCTATATACTCAATGCTTGTTTATTATTTTCTTTAATTTGACAATTTAATACAGTCGGGGAAGACGAATCAAATGTAACGTTGTGTTAACAAGCATCCAAACAATAAAATCCCTTTACCTGCTATTCTTATTACAAATGGTTAGTGTCAATATCAGCAATAATTATTAAATTAGCTTTAAATTAGTCTTAGCATAAAATTCAAGAATTTAATGTTTTCCTTTGATTGATTGGTCTCAGAGTGCAGAAATGTACTCGTTATATCAGCTCTAATTGTCATAAAAGAAGACTGTGGCAAAGGAAGAAAATGTGCATGGGATATATACAGTATATACAGTGCATGAACATAGGAAAACTTTTCTTATTTTTATAGTAGGATTATTATACAGGGTTATTGCACAGGGTGTTTACATGTTTTCTATATAAATACCTACGTAAACACCCTGTGTAACACAAGAGGTGGAATTGTTAGCTGTTCAAATTCAGGAGTATTCTGATTAGTTTTTTCCTGTCTCAAATTATATTACTGTTTCATATTTATTTATTTCAAACGTTGCAATATTTTGTTCATTTGTATTTGCAATCCAGCCAACTAGAGATTCACCCATTTATTATCTCTACCGTCTTTACCCTCCACCGCTTCATGGTGAGGAACACCTGTCTTAAGTGGTTATTGGTTTTTAATACCAGTCATTATTATAAAATAAAGAAATAGTTGAAACTATATTAACTTTATCTCTTACTGTGAATGCTTTTGCTGTTTATAACTAAATTAGTAATTATACGCCCAATTTTATCAACCTGTTAAAAAGAAGATAAAATTGAGAAGAGAAAAGAAAATAGAACCAATTTGATGGATGGTGTGCTCCTGAGTCCCCCCAAACCATAATTCAGGCTGAAGCAAAACCTTGAGTTAGCTCTGTCAGCCTACAGTTAAATCATAGAATAATTAAATCAAGCATGGCACACATTCAAATGCAATAAGATCATTATCATTACTTTACATTATGCAGCTTCCATCTGCCGCCAGACACTATGATTGATGCACTGACAGCTATAAAATAAAAATAAAACTCTTCCTCCATTCATAAAGTACTCTTAAAATAAAATGTGCATCAAAGGAAAAAAGAAGTAGATGAATGTATTTTTTTTGTGTGTGCAAAATGATAGTGAATAAATCAGCAAATAAACCTGCAGTGCACTGTTACTGCACATGTGTGTACAGTAACACATACCTGCACTCTACATCAGGCCAGAAAAAAAAACAAAAAAACATCCACATGTTCTGCAATGAGGAAGTGTCTTACTTTGATCTTTAAATACCCTCTAACGTTAACTTTTATGAGAAAGGCAGACACTCCCTTGAATCTGTGCTGCATGAACACCTAGCATCTCTTTTTATTTTTTTAATTTTCATTCTTCCTCCAACACCACCACCATCTGTCCCTTTCTTCCATTTCATGTGCTCAATCCACACCCCTCTCATAGCAACAGCACGTCGCCCCCGCGCCTTGCAGTGGATTTTTCCTCCTCTGGATCTGCGCCTCGCACCATGCAGACGGTCCCTCGGCCCTGCCTGCCTGCCTGACGGCTCCCCCCTCCCCCAACAGCCGTGCTCCTATTTCACTCAAAGATGGCGTCGGCTCTAGAGCCCCTGCTCCTCTGGCTGCATTTTTAGCCTTGTTGTTGTCTTCGCTCCGCTCGCTTCTGGCACTTTCTTTGCAGCGGCTCGACACGAAATTCCGGTGAGTACCAGCGGAAGTCGGATAAGGTTTGAGAGGATTTATTTTTTCCCCCCAATGGAGGAGCTTTACCCGAGCTTCCCTCGGAAACCAGAACCGGACCAGCTTTGGCTTTCAGGGGAACCGCGAGAGGATGCAGGAGAGAGGGGCACGGATGTATGGCTGCTTGCGGAGGTGGGTGGGTGAAGGGGGGCTGAGAGAGAAGGGGAAGCAGAGGCCTAGTGTGGCGGCCTTCTCTCTCCACCTCACCGCAGGCTGGAAGCGACATAAGAGGGCGGCTGGTGGAGGGAGGAAGTCCGCTCGGTGTGTTTGTTCGCAGGGAGCTAGGCCGCCTAGCATCCTGCTGCAGAGCCCACCGCTCAGAGACCCTCAGCGCAGCCCGCTAGCAGAGATGGTCGTTGAAGTTGCATTGTGCCTCTCGTTAAGGCCGCAGTCTGACGTTAGCAACAAGACACACCGAGCTGGATTCTTCTTCTTCTTCCTGTAAACTGCGACCAAAACTGAAATGTTGTGCGGGTTTTTTTGTGCTGCACTGTTAGTTTTTTACAGGCTGTTTATGTCTCCGGTGAGTGAGTGAGGTTAGTAACACTGTGGGAAGGTTAGCTCGCTGGCTACAGCGTTAGCTTCCTAAAGCAGCGGTTAGCGGGAACTCTTGTTTGTAAATACGTACCACGCTGGTAGGGTGTAATTAACCAGGAATAAGATGGCTTTACGACAATAAAGCTTTTATAACGACCTTTGGGTGTTGTTGGTGTTTTACCTAGCATCTAAGCTAATGTTTGCTAGCTGTGTGCGCCTTTGACTACAGAGTGTTTACGTTTAGCAACCCAGCTGATAGACCTGGTTGTCCAGTTTTCAGAATTGTATAGCTGTTATATTTGAGATCTATATTTGTGTGTTTATATCTTTTGTATATTGTAACCCCCTAAACGTTAGTCACAGTAATATTCAATCATATTGTTATTATCAATAAGTAGTGGTGCTATTTTACAGTAATTAGCAGGTCTACAGGGATCTGAGCTTAGTTATCAGCTAGGAGTTGTTTGTGTCTAAAGGAAAGCATGGCTTTGTTTACATTGACCTAGTGACCACACACAAATGAAGTGAAAAATACTCTTTTCCCACCATAGTACCCTTCAATATTTATGTAGAAAATAAGCACTTTTTGTGTCTTGGCTGCAGGAACCCCTAAATTAAACATTTGATGTAGTTGAAGTTGTGACAGTTAATTTATTGGATCAGATCATCTTAAAAAAAAATGAGCGTTTTTAGGGTCTGCAGAGTTTGCATGCAGGCTGTGATCCAATCCAACAGATGAGTTACTGAGCTTTAACTTTTTGTGAATTTAATGTTGTTTCTAACTTTCACAAGAATCCTATTTTTGTTGTTCATAAAGCTATGCATGATAGGTCAACATGACAGTATTTCCTCCACTGTGTTTATAAAAGTTTTGCCTTCTATGTCACATCTCCCCCACTTTATCTGTTATCTGCAGGATAGTTTTTACCTGGTCACACATTTGCTGTCTGTTTTCTGACTGTCTTTTATGTTTTGCACAGTTTCCATCAGATGTTGATGCACGGTGGGCTTGAAGGTGTTCAGACAAGACCTGCGGAGAGATATCTCTTCAACTCCAGATCACTGAAAGAAGAAGAGGAAGATAACTGAAAGAACAAGTGGAAATAAGACGACGCAGATTGAGAAATATTTTCTCTGTTTCCTTCAACACTAATTTTATGTCCTGGAGACCTTGAACATATCTGCCATTTTACCCTGAGAACCGATTACTTCACTACTGGCAGAAACCTGCACGTGTTTTTTGGGACTACTGCTTCAAAGGAAAGAAAACTGTTTCTCTGAAAGGCACCCTGACTGATCTATATCCTCTCTTCTTTGTTGTGTGTTGTGGGAGTTTAACTTGTAAAAGAAGCTGTTGCTTCTTCCACTTCCCCCTGCTTCCTGCCAGGGACGTTTACCTGGCTAGGAGTGGGTGGTAGGTGGACCAGATTTTACTGAATAGTAGGTTGCCTCAAGGAGCTTGTGCTATGATCAACTGCTCTTTTCCGTGTTGTTCACACTCACCTTTTGAGGGACTCTCTGTGCGGCCCCAGGACAAGGGATAGTAAGCTGGTTGAGGACAAAAAGGAGGAGGAGGCGGCGCTACGGCGCAGGCCGGGTCTTAACTTGGCACACAGTTACCATTTTTTTGTTTGTGGTCCTTGCAGTAAGGCCTTTGGGCCCCTGCCTCTGCCCAGACCGCAGCTATGGTAAAGCTGGCAAACCCAGTTTACACCCAATGGATACTAGAGGCCATCAAGAAAGTCAAGAAACAGAAGCAGCGGCCGTCAGAGGAGCGCATTTGCAATGCGGTTTCTATGTCCCATGGTTTGGACCGCAAAACGATTCTGGAGCAGTTGCAGCTCAGTGTCCAGGATGGCACAATCCTTAAGGTCACCAACAAGGGACTTAACTCATATAAAGACCCAGATAACCCTGGACGATTGGCTCTGCCCAAGCCAAAAAGTGGCAGCGGAACTGGAGGAGGAGCTGCAGTCGCCTCCTCAGGAGGCGGCAGCAGCGGCAGCAACAACAGCTGCACTGCGTCTCATTCCCATTCTGGGAAGAAACCCGGGCTCGATTGGAACAAACTGATCAAACGAGCCTTGGATGGGCTCCATGAACCCGGCGGCTCCAGCTTAAAGAACATTGAGCGCTTTCTTAAGTGTCAGGCGGATGTGGCGGCCTACCTGTCAAGCAGCGGTTCTGTCGGAGCCGCCCTCTTCCACCAACAGCTCAGGGTAGCCCTGAAGAGAGCCGTGGCCCATGGACGCGTGGTCAAGCAGGGACAGATGTTCCAGCTGGTTAGCCGTAGCGGCCCCCAGGAGGACGGGACCGGGCCGGTGTCTCTGGAATCGCTGCCGCCTGTACGGTTGCTACCTCACGAGAAGGATAAGGTAACGTCACAGTATGCATGCGGTGCTTATAAACACGTGATGATGGGTACATACGCATCAAACACCTGTTTATCTGAGCTTTGCATTTAATGTATTATCTCTTAGTGCTCTGTTTTAAGTTGAATTCTTCATAATGTTTAACTTTGACCTTGGGGGGGGGTCAACCAGGCGACCTTAGACCTACAGGTGTCCAACATTTATTTCCTCATCTGTGGTTAGTGTTGGTCCGTATGACTCAATGTATGTAATAACTAGAGGATAGTAACTTTTCTTAATGTATTTTACAGTTTCACTTGCTGATTTTGAAATATTTTAAACTGTGACATGAATCACTGCTTCTGCTGGTGTTTATTCGAGAGACTGCTTTTGTTTTTGGTCGGTTTTTAATGCTGAGATGCTTTGTTAGTGTCTGAGTGATGGATTCACGGGTGTGTTTATTTTTGTGCGCGACCTGCAGATGCTGGCTGAGGGTTGGTGGACTTGTTTTCACCCGCTTAAGAGGAAGATGAGGTCAGAGTAAAGAGTCCCATGGCTCCCAGCCTCCTGCAGGGAGGGTAGACCAGCTGCCGGGCTGCCTCCTGTCAGGAGATGCTGAGGAGGAAAGAAAGAAGGGAAGCTAGTGGGAATAGGAAGTAATGTGGATGAGAGAGGGAGAGAAGAAAAAAGAGGTGGTCTGTAGCAGAGCCAGAGGGCGAGCCCTGGATGATGCAAGCCTCTGGAAGCAGAAAGACGGAGAGGAAAGTGAGGGAGACAGAACAAGAGTGGAAGGCAGACATGCAGGCGACAGAGGAGAGAGGGAACACACCCACCTCTGTAACCTGATCAGAGAGAGAGCAGCCGCCTGCTAACCTCCAGCTGTAAGGTTAAGAGACATGTCCACACAGAGCTGATCCCTTATTGTCTTTTATTTGATATCCTAAACCTACCTAAGATGTTCCTTTAGCGAGAACACATGAGGCCTCTACAGCATTGCGAGCTAGAAAAGCAGCCTGTTAGGCCAAACGCTGTCATTTAAACTGGAGGTGACCAAGCTGCGTCTCACCAGTGTTTTGGCTAGCGTTGAGCTTTGTCTGGGATCTTTAGGGCGTGTGAGCCAAATGGGCTTCTGGTGAAGATGCTTATAGCCGTAGATGTAAACACAGAAAACGGATTAGCCTGGAGACCAGGCTGGGAATCACGTGGGGTCGGCCTAACACAGTGGCCTGCTTGGCTGCAGATGGTCCACCTCTAAAGACCAAACGATCAGCCTCTGATGCTTGTTTTGCTTCACAGGCGATTGAAACCACAGAAATGATTATTTTTGTGGATCTATTTTTTTAGGCTGCTTTGGATTTTTGATAAACAGTAGTATAAAATCAGAAATCTGGCTAAAGTGATTGGAAATTACACTTTATGTTTGTCTTCATAGGGAGCTTTGTGTAGAAAGGACATGTTGGATGATTTTTAAGAACAGTAGGAAGTTGTGGCATTCAGGATGTTGGCATTTGTGTCTGGTCTTGGCGTAGTTTCATGGCTTTTCTTCTGCTTTCCTCCCTCCTTCCACAAGGGCGTTGCTGCTCAGTTGTGTGTTTCATCTTTTGCTGCCAACCTGCCCTGCGCTGGTTGAAGTGGCATACGTGTCAAAGAGATTAACGTGTGCGCACAAAAAAGCAGAGATTGTTGTTGCGTAATCACTCCCCTCCACTGGCTGGTTTTCTACTGGTGCATCGCTGCCACATTGCCTCGCATGATTGCTAGCTGTTATGATTTCCCAAGGAAAGTAAGCGAGCCACAGAGAGGGTGTGCGTGTAAAGGCGGGGGGATCAAAACAAATGGCTGAGCACTAGGTTTGACCCCATTTGCAGGGAGATTTGTGTATTCAGTACACTGATGGTTGCATCAGGGCTTTCTATTCATAAGGCATCCCAGACCCTATTTCTGGCTCCTGTCTCCCCCTAATAGGGTGCCATTGTCAGGTCATGAAGGGGGAAGCAAATGGGTGAGGGAAGTCAACTAAGGGTCATGGATATAAAGGTGGCAAACCTCATTGCCTCCCTGAGCAGCCGTTAGTAGTGTGTAGCTGCGGCCATTAGGTGGGATGGGCTTAACATTGAGCTGTTTTTACTGGTGTCTGTGTGGTTATGTACGTCTGTGTGGGTGTGTTGTTCATCCCATCATAATAGGTAAAGGCAATCTTCCTGCCCCGCGGTTGCCCTCTCTCGAACAGCTGGAGCGGGGTGAGCCAGAGTTCTCGATGTAGTCAGGCGGTGTCACGGCGAGGACGTGTGAAAAAGCTGGCTCCGCACACGTTCTGCTCGGACACTGAGCTGTGGGGATTTTATTTTTCCTCCCAACTGTCCCGCTAACCTTCCTCAAACCTTGAAGTAATATTTTCTTCCCTATTGGCTGCAGACAGCTGCCCCCATCTTCACTGGTTAACACCTGGAGCGATCGGGCCCTGATTGTCTTCACTTGCAGGATGATGAATGCAGAATACTAATTGGGCAGCACTTTTTAAGATGCAACCTGCTTCACTGGTCTAGAACTGTCTTCTCTCTCGTCTTCTGCTGCTACAGCATCTTTCTGCTAGTCTGGTGAATACAGTAGCGACTGAGGTGGGATTTAAAAAGCCACGGCTTGGCTGGGAAAGGATTTAACTAGGTGTCATGACATAGTTTGCCCTCTATTTTTCTATTTTGGATTTTCTTTTCTGATTTGTGAATTTCTGTTTCTGGATGATGGCTGTTTTGTCTTTGACGACCTTTGACCAAATATCAATTGACAAGCATCGATAAAAAGCTTTAAATCATATAAGGTCTTTATGCACCTGTTCTTAGCACTGTAGAAGTATGCTATTTAGTGGAAGGGGGAGCCGTCATGTCAGTTGGTTTGATTCTATGTTTTTTTTTTGTTTTTCTTACCCAGTAAAGATCTCTATACTTCCATACAGAAGTCTAATAACTGAGCTTTTTTCCTTAAATCTCTTAGTATAATTTATTTAGATTTAGTAATAGAGCGGCATGTTATTTTAAGGAACTTTCCAGAGACCATTCAATCAGATCATCCAGTCAGAATGGTTGAAATATTCTAAGGAAAACCATCTGATTGCATCAGGTCCTCATAATGAGCATGCATCCAGCGAAGGTGAAGAGGAACAACTCCCTTTAACAGATGGCTGCTCTGTGTGAGCGGCAATCTGCTGAGCCCACCTGGCATTAGAAATTGGTTTTTAGAACACAATTAACCTGCAAAAAATAAATCCGGAGTATATTTGAGGAAACAATGGAGAGTGAAAATGTTTTGAGACCAGGGAGGTGGTTCACCTTCCAACAGAGATGGAAGGAGACCCTACAGATTTGAAGGGGTCTGGCAGCGTATTAGCACGCCGCCCGGCGTGCAGCTAACTCCGCCCTGAAAGTAGAGCCAATGTGTGGAGCAGCTGTGGGACTAAAGGCTGGATCCCGGATTGGCCTCCCTCCTTTTTATGCTGAGATTAAGATTTGTACTCTTTGGCTAACCTTTAATGTACAGTTCCTGTTTTTATGGAGAGCTGATGGAAGACGGGGGGCTGATATTTCCTAATTATATGGGGTGTTTCTAAGTTCTTACAGGCTGCTTAAAAGTTTGGGCTTAAAACTGTTCCCTTTTAAACTGCTCCATGTTTCTAAATAAGGAGCAGGAAGACGATACCAAGAGAGTAATTTTTTTATGATATACATTTCTTATTGTTTTGTCTCTCAGTCTGAAACAGTGAGTTTGTGTTGGAGGATGAGGATAATGTGGTGAGAGGGCAGCAGGGTGGTTAATAAGATCATTGACTCAGGATACAAGGACAGAAGCGACACCTTTCCCGTTTCTCTCATCGCTTTTCCTTTTATCCTCCTCCCTCGTCCATTTACCCTTTATTTCAAACCTCTCCCTCATTGCTCGGCCCTTCCTGTCTCCTTTTCTTCATCTTCTTTTTTGGATGAGACTGTTTGGTTTCTTCCGTTATCCCTGTGTGCAAGCTTTCTAATCTATCATTTATAAAGACATCTATAAGCAAATTATTTTTAAATTGAGCTTTAAGACATAGTACTGCAAGATTTTTGGACAAAAAGGGACTAAAATATAAAATTGCTCTGAAGTTTGTATTGCTGAAGTTATGTGTTAAAGAGAGCATGACTAATGATCTTAGGAGGATTTTCAGACATGACCTTTTGGTTTGCAACATTTAACAGCAAAATAAACAAAAGAAAGCTTGTTAGCATTAGGATATGAAGCTTTATTCTACTTGATGAACTTTTTTCCAGGAAATGCTCACTCTGCTGTTCCTCATCGGTACCTTTTGGCATTAAAATTCTTGCAATCCTTTGTAGCTTCTGTGACTACGGCGTTGGCAAAACGGAGGAAATGTCCAGGAAATCTTTGCTAGGATGGATCTGTATTTCAGGTTGGGCATGTTAGCTGTAATCTAAGGCATGTGTGAACTAAGAACTCCTGGAAGTTACTTAACAAAGTCTCAGTTTAAAGGTGGGAACATTAATGCAAACAGGTTATTTTAGATTAAAATCTTTATTTGTTTTTTTTTTTTTTATTGAAATGTTCTGGATCAGTGTCACATTAATGATGGAAAAGATTTGAAAAGGATTCACCAACGATTTAATCTTTGAATCTAAAAACAAAGCTTATGCACAGGGCGTGCTTACTTTTTTAGGAGGGAGTGATGAGATCAGTTGTGCTCACCTAGCCTTTGCATCTGGGCGTGTATTTACAAACAAAACAACTGTTACCCGCCAGACAAGTTTGAATGCACCTCATGCTACGTTTTGAAGAGCTTCATCTCAGAGCAGCTAACCGCTAACCTTCACCACCAGGTTTGACTTTGAAAAGAATTTGGATCCTAAAAAAAACGAACATCTGCTTAAAAGAAAGAGGAAAAAGTTTCTCCCGCCAAAACATTCCCCCGCCGGTTTTAAAAACCCTGAACACACATGCCATCAATGAAACAACCACCATGACACGGACAGTAAACAGACACT